AGTCTTAAAGCTAAATCCCTTGTTAATCTTGCGTTAATACTAATTTTCAGTCATTAGTATCGTAAGATAACAATAGTATGTATTAATTGTAAAAAGATAGCCCAAGAAATAGCTGCAAGATGTAATTATAAGGAAGTCAAATGGAAAGATCCAGTAACAGAAGAAAGAATTTTTGATAAAAACCAGCCTATTATAATGGTGGATTCCCAAAAACAAGGAGAAATTACCATACAGAAAAGGCCTAATTACGTATTAGGAATTTTATATGATAACAAAGGAATTCATCTATCGAAAAGGATAGATCCTAAAGAGGAAATGTATAATTTGTGGCAAACAGTCTGTGGAAAAGTAGAAAGGGAGAATCGTTAGCAACAGCAATGATAAGAGAAATCAATGAAGAAACAGAAATAAAACTGAATAAAGATCGCTTGGAATATATTTTAAATGACCCTACTTATAATTGTGATGTATATAAAATTAAGTTAAATGGTGAGCTACTACGACGTACTGAACCAACCAAACATAGCGAATGGCAATACTTTGAATTCGATAAATACTTGGATTGAATAAATTAACACTAACACATAATAAATTTGGTGAATTATTTGTGATAAAGTTGAAGGAACAGACTATTGTTACTTACACAAGTCAGGATGAACCAGTCAAGAATGCCCTATATATTGAAGCTAAAATAAATGGATATGATGTAAATGCTATAATTGATAATGGATCTGTAGGAAGTATCATCACCCAATGATTCTTAAAACAAATTAACAAAACTATTGACAAACCTGCAAAAATCAAAATTATGGGTGTAGATGATAATAGCATGATACCAATGGGAATAATCAAAGGGATGCCAATAGAAGTCAATAGAATAGAAATCAATGAAGATATGTTAGTAACTAATACTACAGGATATAACATTATTCTGGGAAATATATGGTTATAAAAGTCAATGCCATTATTGATTTTGAAGCAAGTATGTTGACAGTACAATAAAAAAAGCAAACTTCTATAACACCGATAACCTGCACTCAAGATATAAATCCAGGGAGATTTATATCCATAAAAGCCAAAGTAACTTCGGACGAACTTGAATTTGAGGATGAGGATGAAGATATTGATATACAACGATGCTTTGCTATCATTCCTAAGGAAAAGGAACACACTATGCATATCAATGGAAAGGAATATCCTGAAATATATCTACAACATTTAGAATATGAATTGAATGTATAACAAAACAAAAACTGAAAAGGACCAGCTTTATATTGGTGTCTAAAAACAATAGAAGCTGGAAGCCAATGTGATAATTGTAGGGAAATCATGAAGGATGTTCAAACATATAAATATTACAGGAATAGCATGAGAATACAATCGACTTATAGGATTCAACTTGAAGGAGATGATATTCATATAGAAATTGGTGAAAACACAGAAAAATATACTACATGTGGAAACTTATCGACTGATATAATAACAAAATTAAAAGATTTCCTTTGTAGAAATATTAATAGTTTTGCCACTACCATACAAGAGTTTATACATTTTGACCAGTACGAACATTGTATATTTACTGAAGAGATACCACCAGTTGTATTAAAACCATATCAAATATCAAATAAAAATGATCAGTATATTCAACAAGAAATCAAAAGTATGTTAGAGCAGAAAATAATACGACCATCACGAAGTCAATGGAGTTCGCCAGTAGTGCTTGTACAAAAGAAAAATGGAAAAATAAGATTTTGTGTAGACTACAAGAAATTGAATGATTTCACTATAAAAGATCGATACCTGTTACCAAGGATTGATGAATTATTAGAATCTTTAGGAAGAGCAACATTGTATACAACACTTAAATTAGCCTTGGGATACTGGCAGTTCAAGGTTAGAGAACAGAATAAAGTTAAAATAGCATTTATTACCAAATACAAATTATACGAGTTTAATGTTATGCCTTTTGGGCTGTGTAATGCACCTGCTACCTTTCAAAAGCCATGGATGATATACTACGACATATAAAAGAAAATTTGTACTTGTATATCTAAATGACATCATCATATTTTCCAAAAGCTATGAAGAGCACTTACAACACCTTCAACATGTATTTGATTTATTAAGAAAAGTTAACTTAAAGATAAACCCTGAGAAATGTTATTTTTGCGATTAAGGTTGCTTGTCTAAACTCATTTTGGATTTGGTAAAATGGTAAAACCTTTAGTTTTGCTAAATTTTTACTAAGTG